AAAGGTACAAACTAGATGAAGGACATGTGCTCAAGGACGCATGTGGATACTCACTCGCATGAAACCCAGCTTTAGCTGAACAACGTCAATGAGAAACAATTACAGCAAAATGATGAACAACAATGGAAATGGAGAATGAAGAAAGAAAATGAAGCGAGGCAGACAATACATATGATGACACATTAAATGATACAAAAATATTATGGAGATTAAGTTTATATGCTTGGTCACAACATGACATGCTGCAAGGCCTCTTTTTATTATATTGTGATCACTGTAGTTTTGTTGAGTCCAGTCTCAACGGTTTTACTGTTAATTCCATAACTTCTTAACTTACCATCCACTACATAGTCATTATGCCAAAGTCCGCAGATGTTGAACTCCAACAGTAACCTGTAAGTTTCGAAATGAAGATACATTTTTACTGGCCAATCAAATTACATTTTAAATGAATAAAATAGTTCATGTTCCCCCTGGTTTCACAACCTCAAACAGCACTTACATCACAAAATGTGAGAAGAACCATTTTATTATTGCCAGCAGACCGTAGAAAGGCTGTGAGGTGAACAAAGGTGGATTGTCAACAGTGTCAGCACAATATAGACTGCATTATGCATTAAAAAAGTAAGTTTCTCTCTAATAGATGCTAAGGTGTTCGTACGCTGAGCAGTGGTCGAGCTCCACTAGCGTGATGATGGGCGTTCTTACACATGGCCTGGTAGTCATACAGAGTCACCCTGCAGAACAATATACAGTAGCATTACTTCATGTTCAAATGTTCAAAGTACCACTAAACTTTAAAGGAATAATTCACCAAAGAATAACATTTATTCTATTTTATTCTATTAATTTATTAAATAAATAAAAGAAACAGTATGGAGTCCAGTTACCTTTTAAACAAGCCAGATTTTAGTAATTGGGCCATGACTGATCCATCTATTTCCCCGAAGAATTTACCAACCTGTGTGAAACAACACAGAGTCACGGAGAATAAAGCATACAGTGAAGGATTACTCCGGTTTAGCTATACAGTATGACACAATATGAAATCATTTCTGAATCCCATGATTAATAAACACACACACACACACACACACCTACGCACTCATAGACAGACAGATGTGGAGTGATCCTGATGTGCAAACAGATGCCTGAATCTGCCCTGTCTGCCCCACGGCAATCTGGGATTAGCCTCCATAAACATTAATCTCCTGGCTACTGCTCACATAGCTACAGTACATGTGTTTCTCTAAACAGCTGCGGTTATGGTATGAGACCATTGTCATCATAAAGAGATGGATATGCAACAAAATACACAACATTTACATTTTCATACACGATGAAGATAATAATCACAACAATTTAAATAAAACATACTGTTAACTAAAATATCATAAATTGTATTAACAATGCACTAAACATTGTTTTTGAAGAAGAAAAATCTAAATGATTTTGTTTCAAATAATTCTACCATAGTCAATAATCTAAAGCTCAACAGTAAATTACAGGAATAGTTCACCCAAAAATAACATTTGCTGGAAATTCACTCACCTTCAGTCCATCCAAAATGTCCCTGAGTTTGTTTCTTCATGCATGGGAACAGATTTGGAGAAATTTAGCATTACATCACTTGTTCACCAATGGATCCTCTGCAGCGAATGGGTGCCGTCAGAATTACAGTTCAAACAGCTGATAAAAACATCACAATTATCCACAAGTAATACACAAAACTCTAGTCCATCAACTGACATCTTGTGAAGCGAAAAGCTGCATATTTGTAACAACCCAATCCATCATTAAAACATTTTAACACCAAAATGTTGCTTCTGGCTGAAATACAAAATAAAACCCATAATTCCACCAGTGAAAAAGTCCATCCCCTGTTGTCTCTCACATCAAAATCCACCAACATATTTGTTTATGTTTTCACTTTTAAATGGTGCTTGATCTGTACATATTTTTCTCATGATTCAGACAAGATAACTTTTTCACTGGAGAAACTAATATTATGGATAGAGTTCTCATATTTCAGTTGGAAACAATGGTTTGAAGTTAAAAAACCTGATGGATTTACAAACACAAAGGATTACAAACATATAGCTTTTCACTTCATAAGGTGTTAACTGATGGACTGGAGTTGAGTGGATTGCTTGTGGATTATTGTGATGTTTTTATCAGCTGTTTGGGCTCTCATTCTGACGGCACCCATTCACTGCAGAGGATCCACTGGTGAGCAAGTGATGCAATGCTATATTTCTCCAAATCTGTTCCGATGAAGAAACAAACTCCTTTACATACTGGATGGCCTAAGGGTGAGTACATTTTCAGCAAATTCATTTTTAGGCAAACTATTCCTTTAACTCAGACACATCATATCACAAATCCACATACCATAAACATAATGTTACAACTTGCTTCTGGGACAATTATGCAAATTCACAAGTAAACTTGTGTAAAGAATGTGTAAAGTTATGTTCACATTAGCAACATTTTTATAGTCCACTGTGTATTGTCAATAGTGTATCAATGTACAGTACTAAGCACAGAATTCACTTTTAAATCAAGCAGCTTTCTGTTGGATAACGGGGCGAATATTGTCAATTTAAAGGATATTTTTGTCACACAAAATCCAACAGCTAAAAAATAATGATTGTATGCAAGCACCATATTCATTTGCATAAAGCGCGTCATTCTCTATTACGATGATCCTATTTTCTGTATGCACTCTACTATCCTATAAAAGCCCAAACGCTAAAATTAAAAAAAGATGTGCTGACCTCTCCAAGCTAATCCAATTTTACCAAGTCCATTCTCTCAATCACTGTCTTATTTGAGACTCTATCTATTTGCTCCAAGGGCAAACTTGTGGTACATTATCGAGTCCTCACGGGAGAGGCCTATCTCATCACCTGCCCTTCACATCAAACCTCCTGGGCAAGGAAATGTGCAGCTAAAACCGTCACCTAACACAGGTCACCATCTTTCATTTTATGCTTCTCTTCTGAGACAAAATGCTGTTGGGGCATGTTGTCACAAAAGGTCTGTGTGTTCAACGAAGTGTATGAAATACTCACATCTCCTTTTTCCTTTGAGACCATTATGAAGCCATTATTGTCAACAAGATAACAGTTCACATCCTGTGAAAAACAGTTGGATAAGAATTGATCTCCCTTGTTGAACTGGATCAAAATTCATTATAGTGAATCGGTTTGTGTAAATGAACTGATTCTGAACAACGATTCACAGATTACATAAAGATAACACAAAGAAGAGTCAATTAGCTTCACTCACGATGCTCTCACAGCTGAGAGGACATATACCATCCACATCACTGCACTGCAAAGAGTAAGAAGACAACCGCAAAGGCTTTAGTAAATGGACAAGAACATTTTATCAAATTCATTATATTTAGTAAACACTACAGTGGTGAAATTACTAAATTAAATGTATAGAGATTACATTACGGCACTTTCTATGAATGGGACCTAAAAAGAGTCTTTTGCAGAATTTGGTGCATGTTTAAATTTGTGGGGGGTTTTATTTAGAAATAAAAATGCATTACTTACATCTGTGTTGTTTGGCTGACAGGAGGAAATGCAGGAAGAAGAAGAAGAAAATGAGGAAAAGGAAAAGGTTAAATGTTTTAGATAGTTGTTTGTGTGTGTTGCACTAGATTGCAAAGACAACAAGAAAAGACCCCTTGTGTGAAACAGGGGTGGTGATTGAAAGGTCCTAGGTTTAAACCCCAGAAGGGACCATAAGTCATGTGGCAAATTGCATTGAATAAAAAGTGTTTGGTAAGTAGCAAGCATCTTGATAAATTGCTTGGAGGCCTGCAGACGTGAGCATGTACATGTATACGCTTAGAAATCTCCAGTAACAAATACTATTTGCTCATTCGTCAGTGTGAGGCGGACCGGAACAGACACACACCATTAATCGAAGACCTTCAGGACCGCAACACTTAATATTACTAGATTGTTGTCATTCGCAGTCTGCCTCTACACTACACACACTCAAGAAAAGTCTGTAAAAATGTACACATTTTCTTGCAGGACATTTTTCCTACAAAAAAAAAAAAGTCCTTACGGTGACAGATTCACACCTGTACTCATTTATAATATTAATATTTTAACATGTATAATTTAGTATTTGTTCACTAATTATATATATAAAATATTTAACATATGTACAAGAAATAATACTAATAATACAAATATCTAATATGAATATTTTTTAGGTCAAACTCACTTGTTTGGCAATAGACATGAACACTCTCTCCAGCAGGTCCATGGATGCCTGCATTCCAATAGCTGCACATGGAAGAAAAAAAAAATTAAATCAGAAAACTTTTAAGATCATTTTATAGAGGTTGCATTCAAATTTCTAGTCAATTAAATATTTTTGTGCTGAGGATTACATATATATATATATATATATATATATATATATATATTGGATAAAAAACAATATTTGTAAAAAATAAAAAAAATTATTAATTGCCAGGATCTTTAAAATACTTTTATCGACAATTTATTTTATAATATTTTGATAACAACTTCCATAAATATTTTATGATTTTATGAATCTATTATTTTTCAGTTGTTTGTGATTACTGGATCATTTTTAAATATAATTTTACTGCATTCATATTTCGAGTCAATTCAATATTTTAGATCTGATTATAACCAGACAAATAAATGTTTTGCTAACAATTTACATAATTTATTAAAAATAATAATAATTATTATTATTATAAAGTTCCAAGATTTTTCAAGCTCTGGAAATCTTCATTTTAAAACTCCCTGATATTTCCAGGTTTTCCATGAGCAAAAGAACCCTGTATTAATGTTTTGCTTGACGACATCTGTTGACGCTGTATATCACACGATTAATCTTCATATGTTCAAAATCATAAGCTACAGCAAAGAGTCATGAAAAAAACTGAAGAAGCTACCATTTTCTAAGCTGTATCAGCTGATGTTTTATCTCCTCTGCCCCCTCCTCAGTCCATCCATCTCTCTCTCTGGCCGTGTAGGCAGGCACAGACTGTTCTAATGTTAGTCCCGCTTACTGATGTGACCCACGCTCATACACACTCTGGACTTTACAAGCTGTGAACAACTGCCAGATCCTCTTGTTTCTTTCATTCTCTGTTGTTTCGCTCAATCTGTCTTGAGAGCTTGAGAGGAGTAATCATGAGGAACCATAGATGAGGACTACTGGAAGGTATGTTTCAGGTCTGATTTGCTTTTAGTGCAATCATATCTCACTGATTAGGTTAAATAAGCAATGGTCGTTGTTTGTGCTCATTCAATATTTAGGACTTAAATATTAAATAAGAATAATTGATTTCTTTACAACAGTTTTTAGTATAAGTTCATACCATTTAATTCTTAAATCTATGCTTTTGATACATCTTCTTTAGGTTTTTATTTCTATTCTAGATCTATAGAACAAACCCGTTTAACCAGATATAAAAAATATTTTACAGATTTAATTCAATTTGATGTATTATGAGAAGTGCACATTCCAGCATGCAAAATTTGATCCTCTTTTCACTGATAAAGCGGATGTTGTTCTCAGCTCTGATTTATTATCTAATGGTGTGGACAGTTTAATCCTTGATAGTTTAATGCAACAAATGTGACAGTAAAAAAGGAGAAAGAGCAATGGTGGTATATTTGTGTTTATATTAAATATATTTTATACACACACGTACATGCATAGCAAATTATCTTTTTAACCTAATAATTTAAATGAAATAAAATGTTCAAAAACAAATATATATAGTGTGGAGCAGCTGAAAATATACTTTGTAAGTAACCTCACAATGCCTCTAGTTTTTTACTTGGCTTTTTTCTCTCACAACAAGCAATTGGCCTCTGGCCAGCTTTTATACAAAGTACTCTCTTTCACTCTTTCTTTGCCTTCTGAAGACTCAAATCCATTTCAGGTCTGCGTTGTTTTTTTTAGACCTCGTGATGTAATATATGTTCAGCCTTCACAGGGCATTCATTTAATTTAATAATTCATTTTAATTACACTCAACTTAATAGTAATGTCAAGCATAAATCTGCACCAGCAGAACATGGATCATAGGAGTCGTCATTCTTCATTCATTCTTCTAATAGTGTTTGCTTTGTTTGTTACCATTATCTCAGCAATTCCAGGTGAATTTAACCAATTTCCTGGTGCATTCATCATAATGGAGAAGGAAGCCATTCATTTGGCCTAGACCAGTGGATGCCCCTCTAAAGGTTTGCTCAGGAACTGTTACAACAGGGTTTGGTGGACAATGCAGACCAGATTGAACATTATAAGTAAGATCCTCAACTTATTACGGCATCCTCAACCTTCTCAACTCTCACAGTTTCCTAACGCTCTCCATTTTCTTGTAGTTTCCTCAGGTCTCTTCGTGACTCTTCTGAGCCTTTGTGGAACATCTACAAGTTGTCCATCAGGCTGTTCCTGCAATGTGAACCACACAGACTGCAGTGACCTTAACCAACTGGAATCCTTGAACTCCATCCTGGACCAGCTTCCTTTTGACACAAGCTACCTCAACCTCTCAAATAACAACTTCACCACAGTAGAACCTGGGAGTTTTTCCAATTTTAGTGGCCTGCTACATCTAGACCTCTCCAGAAACCTTCTCTCCAGCATCAACCCTGGGTGTTTTTCCAATCTCAGCAGACTGCTTCATCTAGACCTCTCCAGAAACCTTCTCTACAGCGTTTTCCCTTCAAGCTTCTCCCACTTGAATAACCTGGAGGTCCTGGATCTCTCTGAAAACCTCCTTGTGAGGCTCCCCGTTAACTTGTTCTCTGACCTCGGCAGCCTAACAGAACTGGCTCTAAGAGACAACAGACTTAAGGAACTGAATCCAGATCAGTTTAAAGGCCTGACTGTGCTTAGGCGTCTAGATCTTTCCTTGAACAGTCTCAGCTCCGTGCCCACACACCTATTGGATGGGCTCCAGAACCTAGTGTGGCTCTCGCTTACGGGTAACAGGCTGAGAACTCTGCAGCAGACTTCACTTGAGCCAGCAAATGCTCTACAGCACCTTCTGCTCGAGGGAAACCCATGGAATTGCAACTGCAATTTAATTCCACTCAAGCATTGGCTGGAATGGATTATATATACAGGTGAGATAAGTTATTTATCACTGCTGGGAATTAGTGATGTACAATATATCAACATCATATGCCGATTTAGAGAGATTTCAGAGATTTAAAGTCACAATGTAACGGAAGTAGTGACAGATCTTTTCCTCGTTGTGATGTAAATCTGAGTGAAATTAATTATTAAACAAATGTATGGTGGGATGTGGTTCTATGCATCGGTTATTGATTGAAAGGAGGCGGACATGAATGCGAGTTGCAGTTGATTGTAATAAAGGGACAGAGTTTAACGGACTAAATGATTGGAGAAATGCGCCATACATCACAAGACAGAAGTGTGTTGTTGGCGAATCTTGCAAGCTCATTTAGTCTATTTATACATTTAGATTACCTTTGCCATCATTTACCGCTCACAAAAACACCAATAATTCAATAACACTGTTAACTGCAATCTTTAGCAAATCTCAGAATGAATACCCATTTTTCATAGTGTAAATTATAATGCTGTGATGTGATGTGATAATTATAATGTTGGGATGTCTAAATTCACTTGTAGTTTTTTGAGCTGCTCCAACCATCAATGTTCATTGACTAAGATAAAATACATCATAAATTAATAATATATAATATGTAAATATACAGTATGTGTGTGTGTGTGTGTGTGTGTGTTTGTGAATATATAAATTAATCATAAAATAATAAATTATGAATATTATAGAAATTCATAATTTTTATTTATTTAAACATTTTTATTTATTTTTTAAGACCAAATATTATCAATTTTTTAACTGACTAATCTGTTAATGGTCAAAACACGAAATAACTTATAGGCTTATTGGTATCTGTCCGAACTTTCATATATTTAATAAAATTTATTAATCTATCAATTTAAAAATACTCGACATACATATTTAACATATACCAATACATTTAACGTTTTTCATTTTTAATTTATATTTTAATATTTAAAATTAATTCTCAAATTCCATAAAAGTTTTGTCTTTCTCTTTTATCATTCCATAGGTGGCAATGTAGACTCTGCCAACTGCTCCTTTCCTGCTAATTTGCATGGTAAGGATCTTCGCAGTATCCCTATGGAGATGTTTAGACACTGTTACCCCCTCTATCTCGAGACCAGGAGCCCATCAGCTGCTGAGGGCCACCAGGTACCAGCCGGGTCGGCCGGAGACTGCATGCGCCAGCGCTACCGGTCTGTGAGTGTGCGTCGAGCGACTGCCACGGTAGTGGTAGCTGGGGTGGTGTGTGGCGTGGTGTGTGTGATGATGGTGGTAACAGCCACCTACGGCTGCATCTACGCAATTCTGATGGCTCACGAACAGCAGCAGCTGACAGAGAGAAACAGCCAGCAGCAACAGCCGCTGATGGTGGCTAAGGAACCAGAGCAGGATGAAAAGGAGGATCTGATGCCAACTATCGGAAAAGGAGCAGAAGCCACAGAGTGTGTAGGGTGGATGGCATTTCCTCCAGAAGTGTGTGTTTAAAGCACATGAGGAACCTACTGGAAGCTACAGTTTATCATTGATGTACATATATTTATAAATGTATGTTTGGGAGCGAGAGTTGGAGAGCAAATGACCCAGTGTAGGTCAGGAGCAATTACAGCTCATGCAAACTGGTTCAAAAAGACAAATATAATAAACTACTAGCTGTTAAGTAGATTTAAGGAACATAAAAAGAAAATATTGAATATGATTTCATGTAAACTTCTATATTTTCCTATGAATTCTCCTAACAAACCAACTCTCTGTGTTTGATTTCTTATAGTTGCAATCAATCAGTTGTTAATTAGCATATTAAATAGTATACTTTTCTAAAATTGAGAAACAGAATAATATTTTAAATGTATATGTATGTTCAATATTTAAGTAACGTATGTCTACATTAGGGATGCGCCAATATTCTGGTCGATATAAATAAGTTCATTATTATTTTCATGTTATTAAAATTCCATATTATTTGGTTAAAATAAATGAGCATTAGATGGTGACAAAGGTATTATAAAATGTAAAGATAGTGTAAATGAGCATGAACAATTAAATATTTCATATCAGCCCAAAAAATTCTAATATGGTCTCAAAATTTTGGACACCACTCCATTTTGTATAATTAGTAATGTGCTGAAGGATCACAAAATGGTATGTTGAATGTAAAATCAGATTTCAGCAGACAGTGGAAGACAGATATCTTACCTCCAGCAATAGCTGTTCGCTTCCCTTCAGTAACCGTCACAGATGTTACCGCCACAAAAGTGTTCTTGCCTGTTGGACAGAGGTCAGAGCATACTGAAGCTGATAAAACACATGTAAACTGTAACACTGCGACAAATCAATTTAACAACGACTTTTTAAGCACCTTTGTTTATTTCATCATGAGGGACATAGAAGAAGAATTGACCAGGTTTGTTCTCAGCTGCCAGGCGATACCAAATGGGAAAGTGGTCCACTGTGAAGAGGTTCTCTTTGTCCACAGGGGTCAAGAACTTCCTGTGAGGTCAAAGTATTAGGAAATTTGGGGAAAGACCAAAATCTCTCAGTTTTCTCATATTTCAAATGAGAAATTAAATCTGACAATGGTATCAAATGTTTTTTCTTTATCTCAAAACACTCTAAAAAGGTATTTTAGGTGGTCCAGTGATGTTCAGTGACTAACATTCATTATATATACACACAAATAAATTAATCATACAAATGATAATAAATGATCATTAAAAAATATAATTTAGATATATATATATGTTGTTTGTTTTTTAAAATAGCTCACTCACTTTCCAACACGTTTCTCACTTCCTGCATATCTGATCACACGCATGAGCCCAGAGCGGGTTCCCAGGAAAGCTGACTCCATGCCTTCATCTACGCTATACAGAGATAAAAGCAAAGAAAGAATGACTATAAACACTGACTCCTTTTTTCCCCCAAAATGTTCTTCAAAATAAAAAAGAGGCACACAAAAAAGCACATCATCCAGAGATTAAATAAAGCCTGTTACCCTGGGGCGGTTAGCGTTAGCGCTGTCCAGTAGGCCTCCAGTGGAGCTGTTACCACTGCATCGAAAAGAACTTGCTGAAGAAGTATCTCGTCACCTGATGCAAAAATAAAACCTTTACTTTAAGAATAGCATATGGTTATTGTTATAACTGAGTGTCTGATAAAATGTGTTAAACAGAGTTGAAAGTACACTCTTATTGTTAGTTGAAAACATTCAGCAAATTAGCCACAGTATAATAAAAAAAAATTTAATCATGGGATGACCATAACTTCCTGTTTAAAGTTTTTTTTCATCTGCAAAGAAAATACTACAGAAAATGTAAAATACAGTTGAGGAACACATACACTCCAAGTCCGGCTCTTTCCCAGTCAGGTATCGGACCACAGCCTGGAGCTGAGTGAGCTTACGGTGGTGTGGGTCAATATCTGTCTCACAATACGTCCTGAGTGGGTAAACCAAAGACCATAATTCAACTTAACATTAACGTTTTTAAAGAACCTGTTCTCCTGACGGTGTTCAGAAGAAAGATTTTCATATTCTCACCTCAAATCGACAGTACTTACCATTCATCTGCTATAGTGAGGTCTGGCTGCTGAAGGTCATGAAGACCTAAAGAAAGGAGAAAAAAGCTCATTCTATAATAATAATATATTCTTTTCACTGTGTGTGTTGACAATTTCTTAATGGGTGTTCCTTCAACTTCAGGCACTTTTATTTCCCAGGGGTTGAGGTTTATTAAACCATTTTTCTTCTTGGTATATGAAGGAAACTTTTTAAAATCTCTGTAAAAGCATTCATTTTGGCTACTTTTCAAATGCCTATTATGTATCAATTTTATTGTTTTACCCTTGTCGCAGACCCAGGCTTTTGGTCTTAAACAGAAATTTTAACTCCATCATAAAAATACGAATGACTGAATTTGTAATCTATGGTTATCTAAACAAAGAGTGAAAAATATCAATATTTCTATATTTATAATAATAGAAAATGAAATCAAATTTATATACATTTTTAGATAAATTACAGCTGCTACTCATATATGGGGTCAGTAAGATTTTTTTTCTTATGCTCACCAAGGCTGCATTTGTTTGATCAAAAATGCAGTAAAATTGTGAAATATTATTACAACTTAAAAGATCTGTTTCCATTACTCCAGTCTTTAGTGTCACATGATACTTCATAAATCATTCTAATATGCTGTTTTGCTGCTCCAAAAACATTATTATTATTATTATTAATGTTGAAAACATTTGTGCTGCATATTTTTGTGAAAACCTTGATACATTTTTTCAGGATTCTTTGTTGAATAGAAATTTCAAAAGAACAGCATTTATTTAAAATATAATTTTTGTGTAACATTATACTGTAAATGTTTTTACTGTCTCTTTTGAACAATTGAATTTGTCCTTGGTGAATAAAAGTATTAATTTCCTTTTTTTTTTTTAATAATCTTGTAAACTTTTGAAGGGTACTGTATCATTTTCACCACCTGTTTATCACATGAGCTATTAATCATACGGTAAACTCACCCTCCTCCACGGAAACATTCCCAAAGAACACGTACTGTCCATGACCTCTTGTAAGCACCATCCCAAAGCTGAAAGCACATCATAAATATGCATTAAAAACATCATATGAAGGTCAACTGAAGGTATTGAAGGGTAAAATACGTTACAATCAAATGTTTTTAATTAATTTCAACATGTAAGTATGAAGGGAATATTTTGAGAATGTGAGAAGCATATCAAACCTAAATGGAGTTTCATTGATGGTTGTGTAGAAATAATCATTTTTGAGGAACACAGGCCTTTTCTGGGGAATAAAATAAAAAATACAGTCACAAAGACAGATTTATTATAGGTTATTGCCCAATATAACAATTGCATAAAACTTAATTTGTTATCACTTTAGGTTACACGTGTTATTAAAAGGATGAATCTCACAAAATCTATCAAGAACATGTCCAGGTCACATTTTACTGAAGAAAAAACATAATAATAAGTGTGATGTGGGCAATTAGGCAAAAATGAAACATTTTATTATTACTGCATGTAATGAGAATATGAGGGGAAACGTGCTTAAATGGACACATTCTTGTCAGGACTTGTTCAATTCACCCAAAAGGAGTAGTTCAAGTAATTTAACATTATAACATAAAAGATGGCTGATGCAAACACTCACCCCTTTGTCCACAGCTGCTCTCACATCTAAATTCAGAGTGCCAGTTTCTCCCTTCACCATGGCTGTTCTCAACTGCACAGACAGGGCAGGACATCATTATGATTTTTCTGAGACGTAAAACAGTGCAGATGCTTACAGGAAGTGGACAACTCACACTGTCCTCAGTGTCCTCCCACTCAGCCTCTGACAGATCCACACTGTTGTAGTTGGGCTTGGGTTTCAACTTCTTCCCATCACTGTACTGTTACAAAAATCGAGAAAAAACAGCAAGAGGGATGACAAATTGATATCAGTCCATTATATTTCAAATCTATCAAGAGGAGCAGATGCTCGAGTGATTGAGACAGTAAGAAAATTCAGATGGACTCACCAGTGGTCTTAAATCAGGATGTGCCAGGATGTATCCATTGTTTGTGATGAGGAAGGCATAACCATGTGCTCCAAGCTAAAACCATTAGCATTCATCATTTCATATTTTTGTTGATACTTTTACAGTATTTGTAGCTATGTGCATTAAAATGTCTTGAAATATTTTTGTATTGAAATATTTATGTACAGTCATATTTTTCTAGTATTATAAATAATTGACTAAGGAAGAAGCTAAAGTGATGTGTAATAATGTTTGATTATTTATCAAATTCTATTTTAATATATTTAAATTGTAAAATATTTATAGTTCATAGTAGCATTTGTTGTACTGCCTTTCGTTTAAGCCTGTTTAATTTTAAAAATATATATTGGAGTATTTTTTTAAATCATAATCAAGAATAATGAGAGTTACAAACATTTTGAGAGAATAATGAGTTACAAAATTTGGAATGTAAATGTATTTATTTGTCATGAAAATAATGCAAACTTATAAAAAATATATTTATGATAAAATTCTAAAATATTTTATTGGCACACACACACACACACACAAATGCATATATATATATATGTGCTATATTCACATTTTAATTTTGGCATGAACTATGACATGGATATGTTCCATATTTATATTAATACAAAGTTTGTCTCTGATATAAAGAAATTATGAAAAATGATGAAAGCGTCAAGCTGAAGTTGGCAACCCTATTATTGTATTCTTTTTGTACCTTATATCGCGGGGCAAGTTTCATGACCTCCAGCAGGGGGACGTCAGTTCCCACCACTCCTAGCAGAATGCCATGAGAAAGTGTTTCTTTCTTCTTACTGAACACTGGCATGGCCACTGACGTCATGAGCAGAAGACTGTGAGCTTTGCTTTTGAACAGCTACGGGAGAGATTTGAGGAATTTTGCATCTTACACTTTGATGACCAAACATTCAGACTACTGAAGCACACAGTTAAAATCAACATGAAAAGAAAATGAACCCTATTTACTTTCCAAATGCACGTTCCTGGTCTCATCATGCCCACTTTTCATGATCAAAACAATTCCAGATGATTAAAATAAATCTATCCTCTACCTTTTTTCATAATTCACTCAGAAATACATCAAATTATGGCAGTAAAATGGGTTGAAAGCTACATTTCATGATGATTTTATTAGTGAAAGCTCCAGGTCATCACATCATGTCCAGCACAAATGTGATAAATGATGATAAACAGTAGGGGGAGTCCTAAACCAAGAAGTCCTGGTATGCTGACCAGGATAACAACTACATTATACTCTGAGCACAGGCTAAATATCTAAATTCTTCTATTTTTTTACACGCTACAGTACAGTGGTGTGTGTTTTACTGTTTCTAAGAGTTACCTCCTTAG